TTTCATCACTGCGGTTCCAGTGATGTCTGCCTTGGTGCCTTTTGAGAATAGGCCAGCATACTGACAGGTTTCAGGACTGTTTCAGAGCATGATATGGTGGAAGTTTGACTTTCGAGGATGAGACAAAGCTTGCCCTTAAGCAGGAATAATGATTTGCAGGTAAATGGTATCAAATATGGCAGGGGAACAGGTCATCCAATTCTGAAGTTCTAATCTCACATAGTGTGTGTTGTCTGTAAAGTATGGTGGTCTTGACAGTTCCAATTCATAGCACCTTAAGAAAACACCAGGAAACAGAAAAAAGAAGCGCACAAAACTCAAACATAAAGGGAATTGAATAAAGCAAAGTGGAAATAGAAATAAATACAAAGAAACTTGTATAAAACATAAAGGAAGTAGATAAAAATAAATTGGGAGCAATTGTTTTTGGGAAAAGCTGTTCCCAAAAAACAAAACATGGGACTGGGACATTCATAAAAAGTGCAGGATTCATTGTTGTTCATCGGGAGAAAAATATGCCAGGTAATGTGTGTTTTAATTGCATGAGTCATATAATACTGTAGATACAAGTTTGCTATTAATTGTTTATCGTTCTCTTGTCACTTCTATCACATTCCTGTCTCCTCAAAAACACTTAATTTTTTTTTGTTTTGGTTTTGCAGCATTTTTCTTTTTTCTCGTGTTTTCTTAAGTTGCAGTGTGTTTGATTCTTCAGGGCCACTGTAGTAGAGTCAGCAGAACCAAAACACCCAGCACCAGGAGCAGACAAAGGGAATATTCACCTAAAGGCACAGCTAAAAGTACAAATCCAATCCCTCCTCGTCACTACCAGTGAAACTCTAGGTATCTTTAACTCTGCAACTCTGCAATTTTAAAAGTATGATACAAATTAATAAAAAAGTGTTTTGAATGGAACATTGCACTGGTGCTCCCTGATGACAGTGGCCTCTCCAAACAGATCAGTGCACAGCAACAATCCCTAAACAGCTGTGGAATGGTGCAAGAGACGTAACAATTTAAAATCAAGCACCCATGGGATGGACCAGAGCAAATGAACAGGAGCCAAGGGAGCCATGGTGGTTCATGGCTGTTTATGGCAAAACAACTGGGATTAGCCCATTAAGTTTTAATGTGACCTATCCCCACGGTTGACCCTAGTCATAGTAAATAAACACAAGCACGTCCTCACCTTTCTTGCATGCGATGCTGAGCCCGACTTGCACTGCAGCCCCGGCGACTGTGTATGCAAGTGACGTATGAGCTCATCCGTTCCCGCATCACACTAATGCAACCCGACAGTATCTGCATCACATCATAATGCTGAAACCCCCATGCAATTATTCCTTGGGATACATTCATATTCATAATCCAATTAGTTTTGACTTCAAGATGAGGGCTTTTTTTTTCCTGATACAAATATGATTTATCCTGTTTGGGGGATTATATCAGAGTCTAAATGTCTGCCCTACAAGGACTGAGTCAAGCTAAAGTAAAGTCAGAATTGTTTATCTCTTTGTTTTCTTTAGTGGAAACGAGACGCTCGAGCGTAACTAAGCTATGTTTGTACTAGTCCACCCACCTGCTGTAAATAAGAGGAGGCATTCGCTACATATGATACATGCACGCAGGAGGTGATCTTTTTTCTTTTCTTTTTTTTTACGCTTTCAGGAAGCGCACTTCATGTGCACCAAAACAAATCAGTAGGAATTTTCTCTCCAACACCCTCCTACACATTAACACCCCCACACCACCCACATGCACACCCCCTCCACACACACACACACACACACACACATATATCCAATTAATTAGTGTGAATGAGTGATGTGTCCTTGCCTTGGCCGCCTGACCGTCCGCCCTCAGCCTGTTTGCTTTTTGCACGCCAGGGACCCGAGCTGACAATCAGTTACTTAGTTTGGATTGAACACATCGCTCGCATGGTTTGATCGGCCCCACAGCAGGACTCTGCGCCCATTCGAAAGATGGCAAACAAAACATTCATTAAACACAACAGACGTGCCCTAAGAGTGAAGGAGAATCTGGGATGAAGGCGAGGACGGATATAAACGCAAAGCTCTGCTTACTCCACAGCACAGGAAAGACTCAAAATTTTAGCAAACTTAAAGTAAAAGGGTGTGCTGCTTTAGTGAGGAACTTCACTGATGGACATGATCTGTCTCAAATATCTGATTCTGCACTGCAGCAATGATATGTTGGAGCAAAAAGTGCACTTTTTTCTCAAAAAACTGGAGATAATTTATCTGAATTTCTTGAGCTGTCATTTCCCTTTCCCCTTCTTGGTCTCTCACCTCCTCTTGTCAGTACTAGGACACCCATCCTCACCAAAGACTTCCCCAAGCTGCCTGGATCTTGTTCGTTCCGTGTGTCGTTCTCCTTCAGTAAATATTGCCTGATCATATTTGAGGTTGTGGTTGCTGCTAGAGGGGTTAGTGTAGCTGGGGAGAGGAAGAAATACAGGAGAATTATCCTCCTGAGATCCAGAAGAAAAAAAAGTTTCATATTTTGACTTTTCTTTATTAATATGGTTGAAAGAAACATGCTACAGCATTTTTTTTTCAAAATTTTTCTTTTTTTCCACTTTTTATCCTCTGTTTTTGCAGTGGACATGGGGTCTTGCTTGATCACTGAATGATAGGATGTAATGTAATGTTTTCATCTGGATTTCTGGTATCAAACCTCAGAATAGGACATACCAACACTTGAAGAGCTTGTAGGAAGGAGCAAAATGATGATCTCTGAAGTCCATTATGGATTAGAAGTAAGGTATAAGCTGCAACTCTGAAGGTATGAGATTTCATAGCAGTTTGTGTCAGGGAAACCCAATGCCACAACTTCAGAGGCACAGCTTATACAGTGGGCACCTCCTCCAAGCTGCCACCTACCTGCTCTGATGTCTGGTCCTCCTCCACCTCATCTCTGAAAGCTCAAAGTCTGACTACCCTTCCACAATTCTGAATAAAGTAATTTGTGCCTCGTTCAACCCTTCCTTTCCTGAATCATGGGCACAGGTTGAGAATGAGAGGTAGTGAATCCTGTTGTCCACTGCAAGGGACACTAAATAAAAGTCTCGCTTTGAGAGGGTTAAATTTGTTTTAGTAAGATTTTGGAAACTTACAATTATTTTAAGACTCTGATGCGGAAGAAATAATTTGGGTTTAGCATCAGAAACGTAGCACCTGTTAAAAAATGTGGAAACTGCAATGTCTGCCATTTTGAAAAGAAAGCTAATATGCTGTGTTAGCTACACCACCACAAGTGTGGCATTACCAGAAAGCTCAGGCTGTCCTCTTTTGATAGGACAGAAGAAATCAACCAAACTGCATAAAAGGTGCTTGACCTACAAGTCTCAGAGTCATGTCCCCCACAGAGGACAAAAATGAACTTCTGGGTCAGCAGTTTGAATCACTTCAAATATCACAAGTCCAAATACTGAAGGAAGTCACATATGTGGCAGCACTTTGTAACAGTGGGCATTGAGTAAAGCAAATTCTCTCCTCAAGCCACCGATAAAGAGATCTGAGAGAGAGAGAGAGACATACCAGCAAGTTCAGACAGACAGGAAGAAACAAAAAGACAGGAAATGAAGGAGATGGGAAAACCAACACGTATGCAGACCAAGTAACGTCAGGAAAAACAAAAAAAAGAAACAAACACAAAACACGGGCAGACAGATAGATAGGTGGGCAGGGAGGAACCATAAGCAGTCAACTGGCCATAATGGGGACACTTTCCAGCCACATGTAGGTGGCCCTAATGATGTGCTGATTATTTGTGAGGCTTGCTGGAGTCTCCTGACTCCTGGGCTGGTGTCTCATTGCACGTGTGTGTGCGTCTGCATTGTTTCCTCTCTGCACAAAAAAAATGGTGTCAGAGAATGCGAGACAGAGAGAGAAAGACACACACACAGAGGAGGTGTAACTTAGCATGCCCATTTTCTGTCACGCTCTCAATTCCAACTGAGCACTGCAGATGGAGGAGGGGGAGGGGGATGGGGTGGAGGGTGTGTGTGTGGTGGTGGAGTGGAGGGATAACTACCTCAACTGTCCTGTGCTCCCCACACCCCTCCCCAACATCGCCCCCCTCCCCCCAAGCCCTCCTACAGCTGATGTAATAATCTCAAACAGTGGAGTGTAATATAACTCGATGGTAGATGAGAAAATGCTGAAAACACTCCCGGCTTTGTGTTTTTGTTG